GCCCTGCCCTGTGGACACCTCTGGTGGGTGCCATCTTGAAACAATTGAGCATGTCCTTTCAAGTTGTTCAAAGTGGTTGTCGAACCTATACGTTGACCGTCACGACTCAGTTGCTAGAAACATACACTATAGAATATGTCAAAAATACGGTCTCACTCCTCCACACTACTCACAGAAAGTGGAATCGGTTCTAGAGAATGAGAGGATAAAGTTGTATTGGAATCAACCAGTACCAACCAAAACGATCATTCGCCATAACAAACCAGATTTGATAATCTTCGATAAGCCAGGAAAGACAGCCTTGATAATCGAGGTTGCAATATCATGGTTTACTGGTATTGAAAGACAGGTACAAATAAAAACAAATCGTTACTGTGTTAATGGTAATTGGGAAGAAGTTACGAAACTGCCATACCCAATAGGAGATAATTTAGTACGTGAATTACAAACTGCAGGATGAAAAGTTTCGTTCTTACCAGTGGTCCTTGGCACATGTGGCGAAGTGCTTTCGAACCTAAAAGGAGATTTAATGGAAAAAATTGGCTTAAATCAGGTTGCAACTGGTGACTGTCTCGAGAGAATGCAACGTAGTGCGATTTTGGGAACGAGCAGGATCATTAAAAATCACCTTGCTGTAAGATAGGAAAATGGTGACGTCTAATGACCCGTTGTGCTTGCACATGCGGAATTAATCAATGACTTTTGGGAAAAAACAAGAAAGGTAGTGATTTTAACATCTGGAAAAGTCATTGAAGACCCTTATTCCAAATATCATCTGAGGAACATTGTAGCTGAGAGTGAGTAACTCTCAGTATCGGTGGGCTAAACCCCAGCGAGTGTCTAAAAGGGCCGAGGCGACTCGAAAGTGTCATGTATTAGTTACATCGTATCCAATAAGTAGAGGTGCTTTGCTAATAGCCCAAAGAGAAAAGTGAGTAACATATTCAGCATCAGTCATACCACCATTTCCAATTTCGAGCACGAAATAAGTATAAAACACATGAGGTTAATTATAGAATATAAATTCTTTACTTACTGTCAGGATCATTCCATCCACCAGGACCAGCTTTATCAGCAAAGTCATTGTTCTAAAAATGGAAAAGAATATTCTAATGTAAAAAAAAAGTCAATATTATCTTACAATATCAATATTAAACATCATTGAATTCCAATTATCTCGAATATCTCCTTTTGTTCGCCAACTATTTCCAACATCAGCTGCCCATAACGCAGGTGTATCAACACCCCATTCTATACATATGCTTTAGGAATAATAAATAGAGATGAATTTCTCAATAATGAACATACCACACAAGGAAAATAAGATAGGTCGTCCACTAGCATTTAAAGCATCTCGCATAATTGGATATCGAACTTCAGGAATAGTTCCATCTGTATTACAATTGTCATATTTTAAATAATCAACATTCCAAGATGCATATGTATTAGCATCTTTTGTTTCATAACCAAGTGAACCAGGTCGTCCAGCACATGTCTTAAATCCTGCATCTAATATATTTAGTGATGAATAAATTAACGTAATGAATATATGCCATTATCATACCTGAATAAAGGCCAAATTTAAGTTTTCTTGAATGAACATAATCAGCAAGGGCTGGTATTCCATTTGGAAAAGCTTGAGGATCAGGATGAATAATACCTTGATTATCCCAAGTCAATTGCCAACAATCATCCAGATTCACTATAGAAAATAGAAAATATTTTTCATATATATAAATAAAACAAAAACAAACCATATTGATATCCAGCAGCTGCAAGACCTGTAGCTACAAAAGCATCTGCAGTTTTCTGGATTATTTTTTCACTAATATTACGATGAAAATGATTCCAACTGTTCCATCCTTGAATGAATCAATTATAAAAACAGATACATAAAAATGTTAGTGTTTTACCCATTTGCGGTGTTCTACCCAATCTATTATTCAGCTCATAAGAAACTCCGATGAAAACTATTAGGTATACCAACGTTGAAGTTATCATCTTCTATTATTAGTGGAGTATAAAAATTATTATAGCTTGGTAAGAAAATATTGTCCTCTTATCTCATACTTTATTGATACAGTAACATGCAGCAAGCACATTGACTATGTCCACATTACTATCTTGGTTTCTGTATACGGGTATGTTTTTGTGGATATACACGCATTTTTTCTTTACATATCTGTAACTCAAACTATGACAGTGAGGGTAAATCAAACGAAAAAAAAAGATCAACCTCTATCACTAATAGACAAATCAATTTGCTACTCTCAACTCTTGCTTTTCAGTAATTAGTCTTCTTTTGTAAGAAGAAAGAATTGAATGGCATAAGGCGTGGACTTATATAAATTTAAGACCAACGTACTGCATAATAAGATAATGTTTGTAAAGGGTGTAACTGTGGCTGTTAGTCTATCGGTGAAGCACTCATACTCGCACCCACATCTTTCTAAAAAAGATTCATCAAAAAGAATCATTGGTACTGATTTTACTTACATAAACCGCATTATATTCTACC